ACTTGTTGTATGTCATTTCTCCGATCACAAATGCAGACATGGTTTTATGTTTACGCAGCGCGATATGCAACGCAGCGCGTAAAAAGAGTTTAAGTCATTATAATCAGTAATTATGTCCCCACTGGATGCAACAAATGCCTCATTTGTAATGGGTTTTATTGTTTTTGTCTTGTCGTGTCGGGACACAGCATCACAGTATGGTAAGGTGCGTAACATTTCCGTCACACGCTTGAGGTATTCAGCCAATCACAACGCACTGGATAGCTGGCCAATCAGAGCACACCTCGCTTTTCAGACCAATGAGCTTTGTAAAAATCGACGCGTTTCAGAAAGGCGGGGCATAGAGGAGAAACAATAATGTACAGTATGTGGAAAATAATGTGTTTTTTGAACCTTAAACCGCATTAACGCATTGCATTACACCAAATACACAAAATAATGTTCTTTTTAGCAGCATCATATGACCCCTTTAAAGCATTCAGAACTATAATCACCCAACCACATTTTTTTTTTTCCCAAAATCATTGACACAGTTTTGGATGAAGCCCCTATAAAAATATTTGACCACATAAGATACATTTTAAATATTAATAATATCAAACAATATCAATATACAGTATATATAACATAATATGTATAATATTTAATGTTTTTTTAATAATAATAATATATTGTAATACCAATAATAATATGTTAATGTAATATAAATTTTTCTATTTGACTACTAATAAAAATAAAATCATAACAATATATTTTTATTATTATTATTTTAAATTTACTTTAGTCATGTTAAGCTTTTATTTTGGCAGGCTGTAGTGAAGGCCTTTGATTCTAAATAGTATAACAGTTTTGAATTTAATTAGTTGTACAGCTTTACTTTTGTCTTTTTGTCTTTACCTTTAATCCAAAATTAACAAAAATCCATACAATTCTGCATTGCCACCTGCAATTCTGTCCATGTTTTCTGCATCACAGAAGTAATATGACCTTACAGTATGTCTATGTTTACAAGACAAATTATTTATTGCTGCTTAATACTTTGCATAAGGGGGTTTCTTCAGATCTTTCCTTAGAAAATACAGCTGTATATTAAAAGAATCTGCATTTAATTACTAGCATGCTTTTCAAGCTACATAAACAAACAACCAAAAAAACAAACATACATACTATTTTAGCACTTAATCATGTTTTGAGGCTTCTGTATGCGTGCCCAGAAGATTCATTTCTCTTGCAGCTTACACAACCTCCTGCAGCCCTTATATGAGCTCAGCACAGCAGAGGAAATATGACAGCCTGCACTCCAACCGTGAAGCTTCACGAACACTAGCAAGGGCCGGGCAGCAACTTCACACTCACATCATTAACCCTGCACTGTAAGAGATAAATCAAGCAGCGCTTCACAATTACAAACTCTGAGAGCACGGTGACCCTCTCCCAAAAAACAAAACCAAAAAAAAAAACAACAGTGATAATTATCCAAGTGCAGTGGTTCCAAACTCGGCCTAGACATGCAAGACATAAAGTGTTGTAATTACTTGCAATTTGCATTGTCATTTTTAGCAGTGCATTGGAAAATTTGATTGTTGATTGAAAATTAAGGGTTCAATAAATGTTTTTACTGAATATTTACTTTTGAATTATTGCTGCAAATACTATCTGTCAGACAGAGACACAGTACTTTCTCAGGCATATCAAAAGAAAACAAAATTAATGGTTTACCCAAAAATGAAAATGTACTCACCCTTTTTTTTCTCACATTTTTTTCATCAGAAATGTAACATTACATCACTTGCTCACCAATTGATCCTCTGCAGTGAATGGGTGCCGTCAGAATGATATATTTGTTTCTTAACAAACACAGATGTTAATTGATGGTCTGGAGTGGTGTGGATGACTTGTGGATTATTGTGATGTTTTGATCAGCTGTTTGGACTCTCATTCTGACGGCACCCATTCACTGCAGAGGATCCATTAGTGAGCAAGTGATGTAATAGTATTCAGTATACTAATCTGAATAGTATGATTTTACTTGGTTTTAAGTGCTAAAAGAATGAAGGTCAGTTGTCTGTTCCTTTTTTAGATTTTGGTCCTTGCTGGATAAGTTTTTATCTACTTTGTCTTAGCGTGGAAGTGCTTTGCTGACGGAAAACGTCCTTGAGGCTTATTAAACCTTGTAAGCTTTAGAAGACACTCATAGCCAGTTTTCCACCGAATGACCAAGCTTTAAAGTTTATTAATTTCATCTAGAATATTGGATGAAAATGTTTTTACTCTTTCTAAAGAAAGTACGATTTGCTAAGGTGTTCTGAATGGTTATGTGTTGCTACTGTATGTGGTTGCAATAGGGTTTATTCAAATCACTAGTAACACCTAATGAATGTGAAATTATGATTAATTCATCCTGTGCATCTTAATTTCAGAGTTTTGAACTACATCTCAGCGAGAACCATAAGCACTCACAGTTTCGACAGCCTGAAGGGAGTAAAAAGAATGTGAGTAGTCATTGTTTTAAAAAAAATGATGACAGATAACCAGATGTTTAGCATGTCCAGCGAAGGGTAATGCTATCCATCATCACTCCTCTTCAAGCCAACAGGCTCATCTCCATATCATGTGATCTGTGAGGAACATCTTTGATGTTCACTCCCTTTTTCAGAACGCAGAGTAGAAGGAGATCTCAATTCCAATTTTTCCTTGCAGCCTTTGAAAAAGCTCAGGACATTCAAGTTAGGAGGAACAGTTTGAACGTTTGCACAGAATAGATTATTTTTGGTGAGAATAGAGCATTAAAAAGAGCAGTATTTTGTCAATGACAGTTTTAACATCACACTTAGAATCCAGCAGATTTTGTGAAGTATCATCCTCTCTTTTGGGATTGAATTTCTTTGTCATTTGTCCAAAACGAGGCATCTCTTTCCCTTGAAATGGCCTCAGATAATATGTGTTTGGATTATATGGGCTACATTGAAAAAAATCATATTGGAACTAACCTTTATAAACCATCATAACCCTTTACAAATTAAAAAGCAGAATTTTATAATGGAACTAGAACATAAACAAAATCCTGAATTAGAATTCAGAATACATGTTTATGTAAATGATTATAACAGAGATGATGGTAGTATGGTAGAGTAGTTGGTGCAGAAATATTTTGGCCAAGCGTACTGCTTTAGTAATTCTCTGTTATGCTTTTTGTCATTTATGAACCAGAAATATGTCTAATAAAAGCCACTGTTTGGAGTAAAGAGTAGACATGGTTACAGACAGATTAGCAGGTATGCTTCAAAATTTTTCTCATTCGGGGAAATGTCATGTCATTAGCATTCGTAAATATTTGTATGTGAAGTACGATTGTAGCACATGTACCATTCAAAAGTTTAGGGTCAGTAGGATTAAAAAAAAAAATCAATGTATACTTTTCAACACTGGTTATAATAAGATGCTTCTTGAGCAGCAAATCAGCATATTAGAATGATTTCTGAAGGATCAAGTGACACTGAAGACTGGAGTAATGATGAAAATGTTATTATTAAAAAAAAAACTATATATTTTTTACAATATTACTGTTTGTACTTGTTTTTATGATCAAACAAATGCAGCCTTGGTGAGCGTAAGAAACTTCTTTACAAAATATTAAGAAATCTTACCAACCCCAAACCTTTTAACATTACATTACATGTATGTTTGAATTTAATGCTGATACATACAATCAATGCATTGATCGCTTAAAGCCTAAGCCTAAAAAGGGTTGTTTATAAACTGTTTGGAGTTTATGGGATATTAAATTCATAGGCTGATTTTATTGTACTCATAATAAATTACATACAGTAAATGACAATGACATTAAATATCATTAAATATATTTAACAGCATCACATTTGTTTAATGCATGCATTTGCGTAATTCAGCATTACAACAATTATGTTCAGTTCTTTGATTTCTAAAGACTGGGGAGAAATTTTGGGATTATTCACAAATACACATTAAAAAAATCTCTCAAAGTTTCTCCATCATTTACTCATAAATGAAAGTCATAATTTTTAACAAACAAATTCCAGATCCAACTGGTTTTATACTTTAGCTGCTGTCAGCCAGTGCATTGATATTGTACATTATAAATTACATTCAAATGTACAGAAATGTACATACACAATTTAAGCTTCATCTATCAAAGTTTATATGCCAAAGTCAACATGAATTCAAATTTAACCTGTACTTTCTACGTTCCTGTTCTCATCGTGTTTTGGGACACATTTAACCTCTTACTTTGTTCATCTGTTCTTGTTTTTGGATCCAGAGAAATCGCCCAGAGCATATCAGTGGAAACCATAGAGACAGAAGCCTTCAACAACCTTCTGAATGTCTCAGAGATGTAAGAAACCACTCAAACAATGAAAGTGATTCACGGATCATATAATAACTATATTTAGTTGCTTGTCGTAATTATAACAGCCTGGAACAGAAAGTTCCCTTTCAGTCGGTCACTCTCGACGTCACATCGGTGACCAACGAATTGGGATCTCGCTTCGAGAGACCTATCTACTTTGAGTGTAAACTA